TAATGCACGCTCGAGCGAGGACTTGTGTCTCACGCTCGAGCGGGTATTGAGCGCCCATCGAGCGTGAATTTCATGCATCCAGTACTTTTACTGTAGCTTGCAGTCCGCTCGAGCGGAGTAATCCACGCTTGAGCGGATTCCTTTTGTCTGCATGTCCGCTCGAGCGTAGAAGGCCACGCTCGAGCGAGACCCTAGTTTCAGCCAAATTTTGAAAAGTGTTTTAAAGCGCATCTTTGCATCCTCATTCCATCCTAGGCATTCCTAGGCCTTGTTTAAGACTCTATTATGAGGATAAGAGATTAGAAACACACTAAGAGCCAACGAAATAAGTTTTGTACAATTAGAACGTGTGTTTCAAGTGTGTATCTGTATGTGTCATGTAGGTCACGTGCCACGCCCTGTCTGATCGATCTGCTCTGTCTATCTGTCTGTCTCCAAGCTCACTGTGAGTAATAACTCTGTAAAGTTATGTTCAACTTAAGTATTTTCTGACTGGTATTGTATGATCTATTTTCTGAAACGCTATCTTACGAATTATGAATGAATGTCTAATTTTCTGAAAAGTATTTGTGGCACCCTTAGTTCATGTAGCCCTTGCCCGGGGGTAACAATACCGTGGCCAATCTGCATGTGGCCCTCACCCGAGGGTAACAATACTGCGGCCAATCTGCACGTGGCCCTTGCTTGGGGGTAACAATACCATGGCTACTTGCGCACAAGTTATGGACCTTTGTGGTCGTTGGTGCCAACTATGTATGTGGGTCTCTGGACCAATCTGTTCTGATAGCTAATGGGTGTACCACATATGATCTTATGCAAAATCTGAATATGCAAATGTATATGAATCTGTTTCTCTTTTGAAGTCTGGTTATGCTCTGAATTAAATACTGGATTCTAACTTGTGATGGACATCATTCATATAACCCCTTTACTCTGTTATTATTCACTGGGCTTTCGCTCACAGTTTATATTATGTATGTAGGTGAGTCGGCACATGACCAGGGCCAGAGTTGATGGCCCTTTTGTACCGTTTTTGGTCAGCCAACCGTTATGCCCCCCGAGGAGGTTCCGTCCGAAGTCTAACGCCAGGGCTATTTTTGTATTTCATGCTAGTCTTTGTGTAAGCACTAGCCAATGGGGATTTTCTTAATTGTTTAAAATTAAGAAAATTAAAAAAATGAGTATGAGATATTAATTATAGAGCTTCTCACCAAAAATCTCATTTTGCTTATATAAATGAGAGCATAAGATTCACTTTATGTAAGTGAAACAATTTACTTTTTCTTTCTTTTTTTGATGTAATATTGTAAAATAAAAAGCAAATGAAAGCTAGCCTCGATCATTTTGTAAACTCATATGCATATTAAAAAAAAAAAAAACAAATTCATTCTAAAGTCATGTTCATGTGATTTCAATGTATTTATCTTTAATAAAAATATATGATCTATTTATAAAATTATATATATTATTTATTTTTTAAAATTAAATATAATAAAAGGAAAACTAGTGAGACCCCATTTTTTGGAGAATCCCCACTACCTCCAAAGTGATCCACACCACTCATGATGTGTGCGGCCCACATCATAAATGGTATGGATCACTTTGGGGTTGTGGGGGTCCTCCAAAAAATGGGTCTCTATCATTGTTGATAATAAAATTACGCGATTATAAATGATAGTTTCGATCAAAGTAAATCGAACTTTAATTTTTTCATAATGTTGCTAATAAAAATAGAAAATAAATTAAAGTCAATCAACTGACAACTTCTCCTCTCTGACATGTGCCTTGTTACATTGTCACCCATGTGATCATAATCGTAGAATTAACTTGCATCATTGCATTTGGAGCAAAATATTGTTTTAAAAATATAATTAATTGTAGTCATGTAAGCAAGATGGACCCAATTGGGAGAGATGGATGACAGCCTCCAAATTTCAAAACCTTTTTATTATAATAATAATAACATTAATTATTAAGAAAAGTTTTTAAAATATATAAGTTGACCTCCTATTAGAGACACATATTTTCACTATACAGTTTGGTGAATCATCAGCTTAAACTATGATAAAAGCTTTCAACCTAAAACTATTTCATCCTAAATAATTCATTTTTTTTTCCTTTTTTTTTTCCTCCCAATGTGGGATTATTAAATAAAAGCTAACTAATGAAGATTTTCTTAATTATTTAAAATTAAGAAAATTAAAAAAAATTAGTATGAAATATTGAAACTCTCACAAGACTTCTCATTAAATGTGATGAAAGTATAAGATTCTCTTTATATGAGTAAAACAACTCTCACAAGGTTTCTTTTTCTGATGTGAGATTATCAAATAAAAATAATTATTTAAGATTAAGAAAATCAAAAAAAATTAGAATGAAGATTTGGAGTTCTAAGAAAACTTCTCACTAAAAAGTCCATTTTCCTTATATGTATAGATATGGTATATTCTCGTATTCATTATAATTTTTTGTTCTTGTTCTTCATAAACAAGTGATACAAAAAGAGCGTAGAGCTCATGCCATTTTTCTTATCACTTTCGCTCACGCTTAATGCGGTCATGTGGTTCTTCTATGGCCTTCTAATAAAAGACTTCAACATTGTTGTAAGTTTGTTTACAAAACTAGAAGCTCTCTTATTTTTTACATTCACATGAAGCTATACTAATAAAAATTCACCTTTTTTTTTCTTCCTTTTTTTTTTTTTTTGATAATAGATTCTGAATGTCTTGGGGTTTATTTTTTGAATTATTCAAATGGTATTTTACGCAATATACAAGAACCCAAAGAAAAAGATTTCTTCTGATCAAATACGGAACGAAGTGATAGCCTTGGAGGAAGAGAAGCCGATGAGAGTACATCTTCACAAGTGGTCCCAGTTTCAGTCTCTGCTGTACCTACATCATCTAGCTACAACATCTTCACAAGTGGTCCAAACTCTCTCTCTCTCTCTCTCTTGATAAGGATACTGCGGCTGCACCTGCTATATTCACTGCTGCTGCACCTGCTATATTTGATGAAAGTCAAGAAAGCATAGACAGAGCAGCTACACTCACAGCTGCAGACAGAGCAGCTGTAAAAGCTGCAAGTATAGACAATTAATTGCAAGAAGAGTTTTAGAGCTGAGGGTTATCACAAGTTCATCACAATGTAAACAATATACAATAGAGTAATTCTATTTGAAGAAGAAGAGAGAGAGAGACGCAAATAAGAAGAGGAGACGGGGACTAGGGAGGCGACCAGTGAGGATGGTCGTGATGGTGGGTGCCAGTGACGGTGGCCGGAGAAGGAAAGCAAGCGGAGGCAGGCAGTAGGTGGTACAGTCCAAAATAGTAAGTTTTAAAGGGATGTAAGTGTAATAAAAAAAAAAATTATGAAAATTGTGTGTATTGAGAAGTTTGGGGGTGTGTAAATAGAATTTCCATACATTATATTTAATTGATTGATTTTTAGCTTTTGGTAGAATCACCCTATTGGTTCAACCAATGAGGTGTTGTCTATTTTCCAGATATGTGTAAATAAGTAATCTCATGTTTGGATCATGTTGATCTTAAAAAGGTAAACGGTTTATTCTCGATATTATACTTCTTGTTCATTTTTTTAAAAAATAAATATAATTCAAATATATTGTTACCAATATCTAATTAATCTAATTTTTTTACATAAATAATCTATTTTTTGTTTGATTTAGAATTTTCAAAAACAGCTTTTTTAAATTTTCAATCCATTTTTTTTTTAAAAAGTAACTTTTTAAATGTTTTAATTATTTTAAAATCTAAATAAACTCCTGTCCTGTCTTCTCTTCTTCTTTGTCATGGCAAATTGGGCAGAACTTGCCTTCTTTCTAATGTGTTTGTTTCTTTGTTACTCAAGGAGTATGAAATCATACCCTTTTTTTAAAATTAAAAAAATAATTTATTTTCTATATTCAGCTTTCCTCTTGTGGATGTTATTTTCTATATTCAATTTTACTCCCGTGGATTGTTTTTGATAGTTATGTAAACAATTTTTATTATCATAGTTTCTTTAACTTGTTTGCTTGCAATTCAGTTCTATTTTTATTTTTATACTTTGGACTTGATTTATGATTGTACAATGCTGCATAGCATGAACCTCTGGAAGTCTTTCCTAAACCATTGCATCCTGTTTGTGATATTGGATTTCTATTGTTCCCTCTTGAACTCATGAGGGAAGTGTAGGCTCTCTCAGCTGCCTCCTCTGAGAGACAGACTTAATTCTAACTCTGATGGCTGCTCTTATGCAGGTATAAACCCAGATTTTCTTTCTTGGGTATACAACGTGGGGGATTGGGGCAAGGCTGGTGGATGAAAAAAGTCTATGATCTTGATCTACGTTCTTGTGGAATCTCACCACAAACAAAGTAGGGTATGAAAAGTCTAGTTCAAATACTGCAGAGTCATTCCTCTGTTGTGCTGGAATGAGCTTCATCACATTGTGTTTTATGCAGTTCCTTTGGTTGAGATTTTTAACCTGTTTTGTTTCTTGTGAGTGGTTAGTTATTTTTTTTAATTTTTTTTTGAAAGTAACATTTTATTAATTCTAATAAAACATTTAAAAGAGGAATTACATAAAAATCATGACATTTTCAATATTAGGAGCTCCATTCCAAACTACATTCTCATGGTTATTCTAGGAGCTAGCTGCCAAGCACCTCGGTTTTTGGAAGCCCGAGAAAGGAAAACGATAGAACATAGAAGAGTTAAAAGGTCCAATCCGCTGCAGCAACCACACCACACCACACCCCATCCAATTACAAAACTGAAGACCAAAAATAGGTGGAAAAATGATAACATGAACAAAGAAGCAGCCAATGTAGATCAATGCTCCAACAACTCTTCATAAACAAATCACTCCAAAGTGCAAAAATATGAACCTCCCCTAGCAGAGCAGTATAAGAGCAGCTACAACCATCTCACAAATAGTCCATTACAGGGTGTAATCAAAATACAAAATCAGTGACATTGATCGATTTGCATAAATCATTCCTTTTTGCCTAAAATAAAATTCTGAATTTGATATTTTCCACCACCTCTTCCCAGATAGGCTGCAGACCCTTGGAGATTAACTTGTTCTTGGCAATCCATATACTCCACATGATCGCAAAGGGGATGATTTCCCAAACAACCTTTTTCCTTAATTTTTCCATCCTCTCCACCAATCACTCAGTGATTTAATTGAGATAGGAGCCACCCATGGCAAACCCCACCATCTTAGGATAGATGCGCAAACTTTCCAAACAGCATGGTAATCAATTAGGGGATGGTCTGATATTTCAGGCTTATCATTACAGAAAAGACATAACCCAAAATTCGAAGCTACAGAGACACTAATCCTTAGGAGGCATTATGAGGTTTTAACTCTTCAAAGCCAAGCTAGCCATCCATCCAAAACATTGGACTTTAAAGAGGGAAACACTTGACCACCATTTAATTAGCGAACTGAAATTTTCCTGAGGCTTCTTCCATCCAGTGCGTCAAGTCCTTTTTTTTTATTATTGGTTGAGACAAGTTGGATAGGAGGCTATAAAAGATACCGTCTTTTTCTTTTTTGCTCGTTCAAAGACACCATTTTTTTTTTGGGGCGGGCCCATGGGGGGTCTAAAGTTAACGACACAATAGCAATTTAATTGAAAATGGCTCAGAAGAAAATGTTAGGTTGAACTAGTGTGTACATGTCTTTGTAAAGTAATTATATATATATATATATATATAATTTGTATTGCATTATTCAACTACTAAGCTTAAGATTGACTGCAGGGTGGAGATAAAACTTGACACAAAATTCAACAGCCAAACAGGAGGGATGATACCTCCCTTTCTCCACCAGAGAGAGAGAGAGAGAGAGAGAGAGAGAAAGAGAGAAAGTTCCAAGATTGTCTCTATTTTCCTATTGATGTGTCTTTCTTGGCAGAGTGTTATTCGTGATTATTCATTTTCCTAGTGCATTGGTTTAGATGGTTTTTATTAGAGGCATACACCTGTACTGTGGTTGCAACCCTTGGACGAGTTGCTTGGGCTTTAGCGGTTGTGGCTGCAGCTGGTGCTGCAGTTGTGTTTGTGCTTCGGCCGTGATTGTTGTGTTTTCATGACACTTAGACACACACTTGGATGCATAGACTTGATACTCTTATCAATTTTTTTAATATAAATTTTATTGGTGGCACTGACTAACAATTGCAAACACAAATGAAGGAGCTCGGAGCGCAATCCAGTGCTACAAATGAGGAGATCTTCACACAGGTTCTAAGGCCTGATCAACCTGGTCGTGTTTGAACATATGGATGGGGTCCTTCTCCAACAATTGTCTTTGGAGGTGGATATAGGCAGTCACAAGAGCAGGCTCATCTCATCTAGACGCAAGTCCAAGAGTAACTTAACCAACATAAAGTACAAATGGAGATGCAAGTGAAGGAGATGACGGATACTATGTTTAGTCAGATGCAAGGTACAATCCAAGCTCAACAAGCACGAATAGAGCTGTTGGAGTCTCAACAAGCCATGGGTGGGCCTATTGCACTAGCTGCTACACATGTGCATTCACAACAACAATCCCATGCGTACACCTCATCGTTAATTGCCATCATTCATCCGAGGAAGTGAGTAAATAGTTGATTATGAAATTTTTAGTATGGCATTTTATTCATGTTATTCATTCTTGTCAAATGCAGGTTCAAATATCAAAGGAAGAAGGAAGAAGGAGAAGAAGTAGATAGGACAAACACAATGTCGAAGGGACTCTTATTTTGCAGTAAGTTTGCTTATCTCTCTACTTGGCTATTTATTTACTGATATTGATACTAAGATCTTCTGTATAATTGCATAAGGCTTAGTTGCTAGAATTATGGTTCAAAAGTAGCATCGGTACTGATCAGAGGGTTCTTACTGTTTGCTAGTTTAAAAGTAGTAACTCAAGAACATTACTTCATGTTTCATTTTTATCTATTATCATTTTAGTTCAATAATATATTTCCCTTCTTGATTTGGACACCTATAGGCTATATGTATATTAGTCACATAGATAGGGTAAGTAATCTTAACGATGTAGATGAAGGCCTCTGGATGTCCAAAAATCTAAATTCTCCAAAGGCTTGTTTTTGCACAGAGTCATTTTTTTGGAGTAACTGTCTAGGTAGTTGGTTAATAATGCTCATCATGAATTCTCTTGGTGGAACCTTATTTAATTTCTAGTGTTCATGTAACATAGCCCATCTTCACCTCAATTATATGCAATATCAATAGGCTAATCATGGTTATGAAGCTCTGTAGCTTAACATAAAGGTTAAATTCATAAGCAACAAGTAGAAAGGTGAATGTCTGAGCTGATCACATCAGACAAGCATAGTTAACCTAGAACTTCATATCCTAAAGTAACGGCGAGTAATAATTGGAAACTTTGATCATAAATATGAAGATTGGAGATTGAAAGACTACTTTCAACCTAGGACATATAGGAACAATGAAATTTGGGGATGCCGCACAATTTCTTAAGTTTCTAAACCAGGTAACTTCACAATTTTTTAAGGATCCAAATACTAGGGTTTGGATTGTTCATTGTTGAAAGTTGTATCTTTATTGAATTCGGTTAGTAGAATTAGTAGTTTTTTCATATTAGAGAGGTTGGTTTTTTCTTTTTCTTTTTTTGGTGATTTAAAATTTTATTCCACACAAAACACAAAGAAACAAGAAGCAAGGACCTACCCTTGCACAAAAAAATACAAATCAACACCGAAACAAAACAACAGAAAACTACAAAATCTAATTATCAGGTCTATAGAATGGAACAAGGCAGTCCCCAGTCCATACAGATTTGCCAAATTTGCAAAGAATTCTTAACTCTCTTGAAAGAACAAGCTCTAGCTCTAACTTCCTTAACTATTCCAAACACTATCACTTCCTTGTGACTAACAGACTGAGTAAAAATTCTCCTATTCCTCTCCAACCATACATGATATAAAGTGCAAGCCACGGAAAGTTTGAACATAGCATTTCCCAGTAAAAGGACAAGAGCAAAACAAATGCTCATGAGATTCTTTTACAGATCGACACAAACTGCATGCAAGATCTGCCTCCATTCCCCAGTGTAATAATCTATCATTGGTAGCTAATTTTTGTAAACAAATCAGCCAATGCACAAAAGCCCATTTAGACACATTTCCTTTTAAACCAAACAATAGAACACCATGGGACCACTGCTCTAGATGGCCTCAGAGCTTCCCAAGAAGATTTAGAGGAGTAGCTACCACTCTTTGAAGGTAACCAAATAGCTTCATCAGATCGGTGCAGATTAGGAATAAGGGTATAAGGGGTTAAAGTAATAACTTGCTGAATTACTCTATTTCTTAATCTAGGCCAATGCCAGCATCAGCAACTATAAAACTTGAAACATTCACATAAAAAGCTCTACCAATATTCTACACAATTCTACTTCCAAAATGTTGATAAAAAGGCCCCACTAGATGGCAGTTATCAAGCCATAAGAAGGTGGATTTGCCATCCCCTATTTTGTAATGAATAAGAGGCTGCCCAATCTCTCTAAGCTTGAATATCTTCCTTATAGTCCATGAGGAATCATCTGGACATCAATAAACCAAAAGCATTGATCCTTTAAAATATAGGTATGTATCCATTCAACCCAAAATGAATAAGCCTTCACACTTATAGCCCAAAGGTGTTTAATCATATTGACTTTATTCCAAATTTTCAACGATCTAAAACCTAAACCTCCTTGTTTAGGAACACAAATAATCTCCCACTTAAGTTTGGCCCCTGTTTGCTTAAGCTCGGAACCAGACCATAAAAAGTCTCTAATCAAACTTTCCGCCTCCTTTAGAATTCTTTGAGGTAAAATAAAAAGGGAACTCCAATAGATCTATACACTAAACAATACTATTTGAATAAGTTGCATGCTTTCTCCATATGACAAGAGCTTATTTGCCCACAACTGAATCCTACCTCAATCTTTTGGAAATAAGAGGCACACCCAAGTACTTGACAGGTAATAGACCCTTAGGAATTGGAAGAACAGTCAGTAAATCAGCTTTTAAAACAGAAGAAATCCCAGCAAAGAAGACCACACTCTTCTATAGATTAGGTTGAAGACCAAACCATAAACGGAACTAATGTGAGGTGTCATTTATAATTCTGAATGACTAAATATCAGCCCCACATAGAACAAAAAGATCATCCGCAAAGGCTAAGTGACTAATACCCAAAGATTGGCACTTAGTTTTATTATTTTCAAAATCAATTTTCTTAAATTACTTTAATTATTATTTTTGTATCAAAACAACTCGACTAGTCCTTGAGGATCGACACTTGGTCTTAACCGTTGTTCTATGGAGTAGTTGTTAGTACTTGGTTTTAAATATAATATTTTGGTGTGCAAACGACCATATCAAATAATATGAGAGTTTTGAGTTTTATAGGAATTTTCTCATTAAAACTCCATTTTGCTTATATAATATATAGATAGATAATGTGGTATTAAGGTTAGATCCCATATGATGGAATATTTGACAAATCAAAATTTGATACTTGTTAGATACATCATTAGGGTGGATTTTAGGGTGAAATTATTATTGGGTACTCTTGGGAACATGACTACATGGTACTCCATGGTATTATGATTGATGGAAAAAATGAGATATTATGATTTTGTGTTGGGTAATTGAGCAACATGAGAGAACATGATAAATGATAATTAATAATAAAAAAAATATAGACACGTAATATTCCAGAAATATCTAATAATTTTTTGATAAATTAAGTGTCCAAAGATTATTTTTTTTGGATTAATACTACTCAATGCCACATTCTCTCTCCCAAGTATGATCTCTGATGGAAAATTTTCTATATCAGTAACTATTTGATTGTAGTAAGGTTTGTTTTGTTTGTTTTGTGTGTTTTTTTGTTTAAATGCCACATTCTCTCTCCCCAATATGATCTATGATGAAAAATTTAGGGCCTTTACCTTGGCCTGCTCTAGCCCTTTCTTAGTCAACCATTAAAAGCAACTCAAATAAGAGAATAGTGTATATAACTAATCATTTGATTATAGTAAGGTAAGGTTTGTTTTGTTTTGTTTTGTTTTGTTTTGTTTCTTGTGTTTTTTTGGTTTACATTGAGGTTGTTATCAAGTTAGATTTTGATAATTTTTGAAGAGTAATGTTATTTAAACTAAAAAATTAGATTATTTTTTAAATTAAACTATTTAAGCCAGATCTTGTTCTCATGCTTTCTTAAATCATTCATAAATCATCTTATTTATACATTATTGACTCTAAAAAATGAACTCGTATATATATATATATTCAAGTAAAGTGAAGAACCTCTTTGGAAATATTAAATATGGGTAATTGCATTATAATGATGGCAAGAAAAAAAATATAAATTTATAATTATAATTCTTAATATTTATTAAGTTTTTTAAATAATTTATAATTATTTTTTCTAAACGCACTTGTTTGATATTTCCCTTATTGAGTACAACCCCAACTTTCCATTTTTGGAATCATAATACTGCTCATCAAACCCGCCACCACCCACGACAATATTTCAACAATATCTCTCTCATTAGACATATTGAAAACACAGGACTACCATTGCAGAAACTTATACATCACCATTGCAAACTTCCCATTTTTTTTGAATCAATTTATGTTCAATAGTAGTGCTCATGAACGCCACATCCTTCCTCCACTATGATCTTTATATATTTTCATTCATTCAACTTGTTCTTCCTCATATCCCTCGTCGTCCCTCGTCCCAGATTTCATTCTTTCAACTTGTTCTTCCTCACATCCCTCGTCCTTCGTCGCTTGTCCAAGATCCCACATCCCTCATCTCTCTCCTCTTACTCCTCTTCCTTTTCCTCCTCATTCTCCTTCCTACCGCCAGTCAATCCTTTCATCCCAGATCCCATATCCTTCCTCCCACATCCCTTGTCTCTCTCCTTCTCCCCTTACACTTCCTCCTCCTTCCCACTACCATTTCATCATTCTCATCATTTCTGCGCTGAAATGCCAAAGTCATCGTTGACAGAGGGTAAACTGGCGGTGGACTTCAGATCGGCTACTTCTCTGTAATGTCCCCAAAATATAACACCAATAAACCATTCATAAGGTCTATGAACATAATAAAGTGGTATACTTCATTCATCAGAGTTTATATTACAAAAGAGATGTCACATGCATTATACATTCATAAATGTTCATCCTGAATCTATAGCATGTAATATTAAGATAACAACAACAAAGTAAATGCCCTACAGGCTTACATCTTTCCAAGTTATCACTTGGTTACAACAAAAGAAAAAGTCCTAACTCTTTTACATATAAAACCCCCGGCTTGAATAAACATTAAAGTATAAATATAACAAAAATAGAGCCTTTAGCCCTTGGTCCTCCCAAGCTATGACCTTGGAGGTAATATATCACCTGTACTTGAAAAATGGTTTCCCAAGTAGGGTGAGCCAAAGCCCAGTAGAGATACACTACCACAATGTATGAAATTTAACTAAGATATAAGCATTAGATAAATGTTCAACACTTAAAGCCAACCGACATCTTTTCATGACCAATCAAAAACGACATCAATATCTCATTCCATTTCCATTCATTCATTCTAATCAACTCATAGATATAGTCCTCTTGTTATCTAAACAATCCCAAACGAGACTACAACTCATTTGTTAACACTTCAATATCAACCATTATTCAAAAACTTTGATTTTCTTGCCATTTTACGGAATTCTCATCCGAGGGAATCGGCACCCATATATATGAGATTTCAGGACTTTCACCCTAGACACTCTAACTAACTTAATTTTCAATGGAGTCCATCGCCTATCACCTCCTACACAATGGAGTCCATCACATATCTCCTCCCAAACAATAACACACATACAATGTATTTAAAACATCGTCATAGACAATGACTACCAAATTCACATATTCAACAATTTAGTCAAACCGTCATATTCAATGACATA